CTAATATATATTAATACATTCATTTAATCATGGAATAAAGATTCTATAATAAGTTTTATTTCTATAGAATTATTAGGAAATGTATTATATATCGCTGGTTTATTTGCTATACGAAAGAGATCTATTGGAATCTTTATTCTTTGAAAATTATATATGCCAAAGGAGCTACTGGTAGATGGATCTATCTCGAATTCAAGTTTTCATATTGCTAGTTTTCAGTATTCCTTTGATAATACCAGATCTCTTTTCGGTATAAGATGAAATATGCTCAAAAAGATCTAGAACAGTTACAAGAGATTATTCAGTGATAATACCAATTCAATTGATGAAACACTATTCGAAATTATGATTCAGATACTAGGAATTTAAAGAATGAGTTAGCTAATAACCCTAGAATTAGTAAATTTAACCTCTTTTTTACTCCGCTTTTTATTTTTTTGGATATCCCCTTTTTGAGTATTACTAATTTTTTATATACAATAAAACGATTTCTCTTTTCGAATATATTCAATATAGATCAGACACCTTTTGTTTTCGAGTTTGGTTCAATTGGCTATATTTATAATCACAAAGGCAATAATATTGTGTTTTTGAAAGATAACAAAAGTAAATGGGAAAAGCATCAAGCTATTTTATAAATCATAGTTTCTACTGACGGTATTCCCCGATATAAATCTCTTATAATATTCAAAAGTATTGAACGTATTAGAAATAAGATCTGATAACAAAAGTTCAAAAGCTATTATAAAGGAGTAGATATCATTTTCAATACTAAGGGATACTATAATATCAAAGAGTTTATGAAATGGTTTAAAAATCAGTTCAAATGGTTTATAGTAGAATCTCCTGCAGTATATAAGTTTTGTCTTTTAATATTAGACTTTTTTGCCGCTTATAAAGATAAAAGATACAAAACCAGTATTAATAAGTTTATATTTCAATATCAAATTCAAAAGAAAAATGAATTTGAAGTTATACAATTATAACAAACTCTGAAAGATCTCAATATTACTACTTCTATTATTCCTAGAGATACTATGGGCTATGTACAAATTCTTGATATCTCTGTTAATAAGATTATAAAAGATTTGATATAAAATTTTGAAGAGAAGCATTATAATAATAATCTTGAATAATAGAAAGTAGAAAAATATTCTATAAATGATTGTTGAGCATTTTTTAATAGAATGGATTGGGAAAGTTTGGATTCAATTTTATAAGGAATATTAAAGTATAACTATCAAAATACTTCGT